TTTAAAAAAAAATAGAATCAAATTTCATGAGTTGTAATATATGTTAAAATATCGGGATATTCAAAATCACAATACATCAATAACTGCCAAAAAGGGAAGAAGAAAAAAACGTTTAACCTCTTATATTTATGTCAAAATCGGCACAATTAGAACACGTACAAAATTATTATTTTAATGCATGATTCATAACTGGTGTGCCGTGAAACTATAGAATTAAAAATGTCAGAATTTTTTAAATCACGGGGTAACGCCTAGTAACTAGCAAAAAGTCATCGGATTTATCATAAAATCGGCATACACGATGAGAGTCAAAAGTGATAAATAAAATTTGAAATTATATATAACCGTATTAAAAATATTGGGATTCTCAAAACTATCCGTAATTTCGTAGCATTGACCACCGAAAAAAAGCAATCGAAAAACTACAGTGAGAGAGATTGGGTGCGTCAAAAACCTAAAATATATTGGATCACCGGAATTGACAAAATTATTTCAGTTTGGGTCTAGTAAAACAATTTATTAAAATGAATTTTATTTTGTTTGCTTAGTGGTTTGTGTTGATTCCCAGCCCTTCAAAGAGTTAAGTGCTAAGTATCAATAATTTTAGGAGGGAAAGCTAAGATAGGAAGAAATATGTTTTATACTCTTCCAACAAACCTCATACAAATTGAGAGAAATTCAAACCAGAAAATAATGTCGTATTTGATACATTAAATTTACAAAGAGTTAACAGGTTTTAATTATTAATCAATGATGCGTTATCCACGTCTCAGAAATCTAAGTAATCTAGTGTGTAAAATTTAAAAACCAGATTCATAAAAATCAATTGTTTATTGATCAAATTATCTGGAGAAGGCATTTAAACATCATCCACATTTTCAAATCATTTATCACTCGGAAAATGTTGAGGCGATCAGAATATATGAATATCTGGTGGTGCAATGTCAGGCAAATATGGTGGGAGATTGGAGTACTCCCACCCCTATTCACAATTTTTTTTCAGAGATTGTTTTGCACAATGCTGGCTTGAATTATCATGCAAAATTTAATGAATGAAGGTAGGTGTACTTCAATCACCCATCATAATTGCCCGACCTTGCACAATCAGATTTCCATGCATTCTGATCGTTATAATATTCCAATACTAATCAACATTCATTTATACTAATTAAAAGAAAAATTATTTAATGTTTTTGAATTTTTTTTCTACTAAAATTAAAGCATTTTTAATGAATCGTGTATTCTCTTATAAATTTTGCATCAATGTTTTCTTGTGAATGGGCCAAAGTTACACCAATATTTGCAATTTTCCATATTCCAGTATGTATATGTATATCGCTCATGGGCTGCAATAGTGGCACAACTCAAAAAACACGTTTTTTGTTCTAAGCACATGTGTAAATATGAATATACACTTTCTTTTCAGCAGCAGCAATACTAGCCAACTCATAATTCAACTTAAAGGCAAATTAAAGCATTTCCTATGCAATTTCATTAGCAATGAAAACTTTAAACCCACTTATCTCAAAACAAGATTTTTTGAGTTGTGCCGCTACTGCAGCGCACGAGCGATATATATTTAATATGGATTTTAATTTAACAATGACTCTACACGGTAACCACCTCTGAAGGCATGTAGTAAAAGTATCTGACAGCGATATATTTGGCTGGTG